TTTTGGCCTTCGAGAGCACGAAGCCAATCACCGTATTGACCCTCTTTCAGGGATTTAGATATGAGATCTTGCTGTCTTTTAGAACAACTTCTTTCTAGGTGCCCTATAAAGCCACAATAATGACACATACTCACTAGTTTTTCGTATTTAAAGCTCACTGTGTTCAGCTGATCCCCCAATCTAATAGTAGCACATCGAGGAATCGGTTCCTTTATATCAATGGAGACCAAAAGCCGCATCACGGGGCCTCCATGACCACTCGCGCCAACCACAACGACATTTTTGAGCTGTTTGAATACTGCTCCTAATTTGACTCCAACCTCTGTACTAAGCCAGTTAAGAGGGATGTTAAAGACTTGAACCCAGAAACTAACTTCTTGGAAAATAGGATGATTGATAGATAGCCCATCACACCACTCCGTTAGAACTAGGTATTGGTTATCGAAGCTCCAGTTTGTGCCTTTCACGACTCTTTCTTTATCTTCTCTGCTTTGAAACAGAAATTGAAAGTAGTTGTGACCTAACTCCTTAACCTCCATAGCTTGATTAAGTCTCCAAATGTGACTCATAGCACGTTTAATACCGAACCAGCTAGCTTTCCGATCACCAATAACTTTTCCAAAAAGACTCCGTTGACAGATTTCAGCACTTGGTTTTATATCCTCTTGAGCTATGTCTATGATCCCTGTCTCTCGTTCAGATAAAGAGAATCTGTGAAGTCGTTGAGACAGTTCGTCGTCTTGACCAATACAAGAAGAGGACCCATGATATTGCCAATATCCAGATACCAGTAGATCTATAAATAGAAAAGCCCCAAATGTGGAAAATAGAATTCGATGAGGACTGAATGTGTGAATCAATATCGCCGGGGATGAGGAATAGAACTAAAAACAGTGAAGAAAGTGAACAAAAGCCCGATCAATGCCAGATTATCGATCGAAAAAGAACGCTCTCCATGAGAGAATTGGTACGCTCTCCATGAGAGAATTGGTAAATGGATATCATCTAATTCATTCATCCATATTTTTCGCTTGTTAACAATTATCTATCAAAATAATAATAATAATACATTATAACTCATAATTACACGTGAAGTAGAATAGCAAACTTGTAATATACAAGGATGAGACATATTACTTATCTTTCTGAAAACATATACACCACCACCCAGCCCAAGTTAAACGGGCTATCCCTAGCGGTTTTCGGGCTAGCCATAACGGGCTTCGGGCTAAACGGTTCGGGCCTAAAAATCCCGGATTTAAACGGGCGGGCAATAAAAGGCCCTAACCCTGTTTTTTTTCCGGGCTAAACAGGCCGATCCGTCGGGCCAAGGACCATTTAACATCTCTAGTCATAGAGTTTTTTTAGTGTGTAACTTTCATAAAGCTTTTAGTGTGTATTTATAGTTACTTAATATTATTAGTAATTATTATTATTATTATTATTATTATTATTATTATTATTTCTAGCAAAGTAATTAATAAAACTTCAATAATTTTCCTTCCAAAAGACGCTACAATTCTTTTGTTTTTCTATATTCTATAAAGAGGGAAATATAATGTAATGTAAAAATTGTTTGTTTCCCACTCTTTTTTAGGGCAATTATGACAAAAACTATTATATTTTATATTAATAAAATAATATTTATAGATATTTTTAGCTATTCTATTATATAATAGTTATTTTTAGAACTAACTAAGTATATTTTACATTGAAAATTACAAAAATATAAAAAATTATGTAATAAATTTTTTCTTTAATATTCCCTTTATGTCAGCTCGAGATGAAATTCATTTTGTGTGGAAAGTACAAATGATACTGATCGTCCAGGGTATTAAATACAAAGTTTTTACTACATATTACTGAACCTCGCTTCGCTTCGTTTGTATCATCATCTTCTCTTTTTTGGATTCATTCCCTACCAAAGGTACAGTACCACTATCGCAAATAATTAGGTGCGCCATGGCACACCTTGCTAGGTGTGCCAAAGCCTTTGTGAAATACAATCTCTCAAAAAAGCGCATGTGAGGTAAGGTTTTTAAAAAAAAAAAAAATAAAAAATGGGACATGTGTCCCATTTTTATTAGATTATGAATTATATATATATAAATTAAATTATCATTCATATTTTATAACAGAAAATAAAAATAAAAGTACCAAAATTCATAATTTTTCATTGTCTACAAATAGAGACCACATTTGATAGGTTTTAGAACACAATTAATTTATCACTTTTCACAATTAATTTATCTTATTGGAAGATGAAAACGCAAATCTATAATAAAATGAACATGTTACATAGTAAGATGAACATGTTATAGAATAAGATGAACATGTTACATATTTACACAATAATATGAACATGTTATAAAATAAGATGAACATGTTACATATTTACACAATAAGATGAACATGTTATAAAATAAGATGAATATGTTACAAAATGAAATGAACATGTTATAAAATAAGATGAACATGTTACATATTTACACAATAAGATGAACATGTTATAAAATAAGATGAATATGTTACAAAATGAAATGAACATGTTATAAAATAAGATGAACATGTTACATATTTACACAATAAGATGAACATGTAATAAAATAAGATGAATATGTTACAAAATGAAATGAACATGTTATAAAATAAGATGAACATGTTTAAAATAAGATGAATATGTTACAAAATAAAATGAACATGTTATAAAATAAGATGAACATGTTACATATTTACACAATAAGATGAATATGTTACAAAATGAAATGAACATGCTATAAAATAAAATGAACATGTGTTATTTCATTCTGTAATACATAACATGTTCATCTTATTTGATAACATGTTCATTTTATTATGTAACATGTTCATCCTATGTCAGTAGAATAAATTGATTACGAAAAAAAAATTATTATGTTAAAAAAACCTATCAAATGTGGTCTCTATTTATAGAGAATGAAAAATTATGAATTTTGATTTTTTGATTTTTTTATTTTAATATAAATCATTAATGATACTTTAATTTATCTAATATGTCTCATTTTTAATTAAAAAGAAAAAAGAAAAGTGGCATGTGTACTACAATCTCTCATTTTTCTGGTTTTAGGGGTGAATGGCACGTGCATAATTGCCCTGGCACACCTTGCTAGGTGTGCCAGGGCACACGATAGTGGTACGATAAGCACTATCGTAGCCAGGTGTAGCAGTAAATACTTATATCTTTTTCGCAACCTGCTAGCTTTCGAAGGGAGAATGACCTTTGAATAAGCTAATAAGAGAATTTCATATAAAACGGAATTTTATTCTAAAATTAATATTATAGTTTTATTATCTCATTAAGTGGTGATTTTTATGTAAACTAATTGGTGTTAATGGTATAGTCAAATGCTTTAAAATACTAATTTTCTTTTTCAACTGATTAAATTGTCATGATCCCTCAAAATTATAAAAACTACATTATTCAGTACATTTTGTCCAATCATTATAGTGTTTCATATGCAGCTAAATAATTTTGTACTGTTTATTTTTACAATAGTATTACACTTAATTAATGCAAAATTATAATAATTAGGTTTCATATTTAGATGAAGAAAATTCACGAAAAAAAATATTTATGATAACATTAATTAGTTTGCCCTCAATTATACACACACACACATATATATATTTATATATATATATATATATATATGTATATGTACATATATGTACCAACATTTATACTTGTTTTTTGTCAAAACATAATATATATGTTTGTTAACAATCAATATCAACCACAATAAAGAGAGCGAATTTAATGCGTAAATTAAGGAGTAGGAAGTAATTGTAGGAGAAAAATAGGGGCTTACAACGTTCGTCCTATGATGGGTGTTATATTGATAATAGGTTACTATTGTAGGAGTAATTGTAGCAAAGATCAAACCTGAAAATAGGTTACTATAGTAGCTGAGGGAGACATCGCCAAATAGTAGAAAAAGGTCGGCAAATTAATAATAAAAATAAAATGTGTATATGATGTATATATTAGAAAAAAGTTGGTCTAACATATTTTTTTTATGAATTTTCTATGTGTTTTATGAAGCCTTGAAGGCCGAATTTATACATGGATAAAATAGAAAAATAATGGTGACTATGTTCCAAATTAGGGTGCGAGTGAATAACATGTGTCTCCATGTAAAAACTCGACTTTTGATGATGAGACCAATATGGCAGTCGCTTTATCGATTTGCTTTACCGGCTTCTATTCACACTTTGCAGAGAGATCGATAAAGGGTGCGAGTAGATAGATCGGCGCTCAGGCTATCATAACGGTACTGGACTGGTCATATGGGTTCTTGGTCTTCCATATATATGATTTTGGGCCTAAATTGACATGGGCCCAATTTCTCTTATGAGTGGTCTTTTGATGTAGTGGTCGGACCAAGACTTTAAATGTACAACAAGGAGGCCCCCAGGTTTTCATGTCACATAGGGGATCAACAGGTTGTCATGGGCCTGAGAAGCTGTCTGTCAATCATTCTGTCTTTGGATGATTTCCCACGTATGAGGTCGTCATTTCTCAAAAGTGAACTTTGGCGGTTGCGTCCTTTAGCAAAGGATAGAAAATATTTTTGGCTAACCAATTAATGAAGAGAGAAAAACAAAGAGAAAACCACCATTGAGCGTGTCTTTTGAAGAATCGTTGGACACTTGTCACCGTTCGAAGGTGTTGGCTCACGGCCTCTCACGTGAATCGATGTGATCTTGCCAACCACTGGGCTTCGTGCTTTTATATGACTAGTTGCATAGTTTGAAGGTTGATCCGTAAATAGGGGTGTTGCATCCATTCGAAATTACCTTTCCTGTTTTTAAATTCTCTAAGTAAGAGAACCAAATCTAGGGCTTTACTTCCATCCGGGTAGCATTCTTCAAAATTTTCGATCAAGTAATATAGCTCTTTTCGCTCCTTTTCAAAATACGATGTCGGAAAATAGTCAGGACTACAACATGGACTTAGTGTGTTAGAAGGCAATAGGTCCGGCCAAATGCTTACAAAGAGTATAATCTGAGAGGCCAAGTAGCCTTAATACAGCCAGGGAGAACCACCTTAATAGGTAGCCTAGAAGACACTAAACAAAAACGCAAACATCTAAGAGCAATAGACATTGACCCTCCTAGACAAAACTCCAATACTACTACAGTAATAGATGAACTACTAAAAGAACAAGAACGAGCTAAGTAGTGTACCACTGAACTCAAAAGAGACCTAGCACTCCACTCTAGCTGGTCAGTTGTATCCCTTAGCAGTCACCAAAGCAAATTCTCCCCACTCCTTCCAAGCTGCTCTCACAACCTCATATTCAGGCATCATGGTGTTCTGAAATTTCAAGAGGTTGTTGGACTTCTAGAGGCACCAAAGGATATAAGTGGTCAACTCTATTCTCTCATCATAAATCACCCTCCTGTCTATAGCAAAAACTCCCCACCATCAACTTCTGAAGTTATGAGTTTCAGTTTCCAGACCATCCTAGCTGATAAATGCAAGGATCTAGGTTCTTATAGCTCTATTACACTTGAAGAAAACATATACAATAGATTCATCTTCTTCTCCACAAGAAGTACAAACTGAGACCACTTGCATACTTCTTCTCTTAGCTTTCTTGTCAAGTACTTTCCTACTGCCTTCTGCCACATCCAGGTCTCTCAATTATTTAATCATCATATGGGAATATGTTGAAGTCACAGAAAACACTCCCTTTCTGTCAAAATTCTAACACCATTTATCTTGTAGGTCAGGATTGAGAGACTTAATGTTTTTGGTATTCTCTTTGTCTGAATCCAGAAACCATTCATCTAGCATCTCCTCTCTTTACTTCTTCCTCCCTCCTCAATAATGTCCTCTACTCTTTCCAGGGTGCAACCCATGTTGTAGCAAAATATTTTTTTACCGAGTACCGAATCAAAAGATTCGTTTCCCGGGTCGATCTCTTGAGGAAGGCGGTTCGGAATCTAGGTATGGTGTTGATAACACATAAAAGAAAAATAAATCCAAAACATTCTAATCAAGATAGTGGTTTTTAATTATCAACTACGAAAGAGAATTCAAACAATGCAAAATCAAACTTAAAAGCAAAGATGAAGATCAAAGGATAAGAAGCTAAGGAGTCGGGGATGATAATTTTCTAACCAATGCAAATATCAAGCTAAGATCATTCGGTTAAATGATTCGAGTAACCTACCGTCTAGAGATAGTCCTCAATAACTCTTCGTAACAAGAGGATAACATAGACGGTAAATCAAACAAATCACACAACACATAGACAATACGTTTCCGAACAAGTCTATTTCATACGAGCCTAGATCGATCGACTCCTCCCCTTTCAGTTCTAAGAGTTGATTAATTATCCTAGACGATTGTTAATCTACTAGTTCGTTGGATTTAAACACATCACAAAAGAACGAATCATATTCAATTGGAGATCACTTGCAAATTGAAGTGTCACTCTTCGACAATAATCAACATTCAATGTACGAGAATTATAAACCCTAGTTAAGAACAACTCGCATAAATTGAGCGATCAACAAGCATGATAATCACAATTAAATTCAAAACATCATCATCATCCCCTATCTCTAGTGAAACGAATTAGCTACTCATATAGAATTCAAAATCAACAATCTCAACAATCAAAGCCATCATATTCATGGATTAGATGAAAAGAGAAACTTACTATTCATAGAAATCCAATATTCGAATCCAATGACAAAGCTAAATTCGGAAAACTAAAGAGAGAATTGAGCAAAAGAACGATCTAAATCTGAGTTTTAGAGATGGAGAAAGTGAAAAAACATTATTGGGGATTGTTCCCACGAGTCTAAGGATCGTTTTGATATATAGTGCGCGAAAACGGAGCTAAAACAAGTAAAAACGAGCAAAAATAAAAACAGGGTCGGCCCAGTCGCGAGTCGCGAGTTTACTCGCGAGTCGCTTGGGTCGCTGGGGCTATGCGTCTCTGTTTTTTTGGCGAGGCGCGAGATGCTGGGCGTGGGGCTAGTCGCGGGTCGCGGGCACGGTTGCGACTCGCGACTTGGACTGCACTGCGCCTCTTTACGTTTTGGCCTCGTATGAGCTCGTTCGAACTCGGAATTGAGCGCCGTTTTTTCCTACGCGTCGCCAACGAACCCCTCTATTCAACTATGCTCTCGAAACCAATTTTTCCTGAAGAGAAAATTCTCCAGAAGCTCTCGACCTACACATCAAAAACGACAAAACACAAAAGAAAACCGAAAAACAAACGAAAAACACCTAAAGACTCAAAATGAAGGAAAACACATAATAAAACACGAAACAGACTAAAAACTAAAGAAACGACCTAAAACGAGAGAAAAAGAAAGATAAAATAAACACGAAAAACGTAACAAAAATGGGACAAACAACTCCCCCACACTTAAATCTTTGTTCGTCCCGAACAAAAAGAAAAGACACAAAACTAAAAACCAAGCATGGACAACAGTCATTAACAAGATAGCTTCAACATGTTCAACTTCAACGACGAGCATTCAAATGGCACATACGAACATTACACAACTACATGCTTGATCTCTATATTTCGACTTGGCGTTCTCTCAAGTATGGGAATATATATGTGTGCCTCACTCGAATTCTTATACAGATAAAGATAGGTGCACTCAAATTAGTCTTTCAAAAGGTCTTTCAAGGTTGTAACGTAGGCTCTTTGGTTAGGTAGGATAAATATAGGTTAAGTGGCTCGAATTCATTACACAACTCAAACACCTTACCCCAAGAATGGTACACTCAGCCGGTTGCTCAAACAAACCAGATCCTCCCCCACACTTCTTCTAAAAGCACACATTTCACCCATTTTATTTCTTCTTTTTTTTTTCTTCTTCTTTTTTTTTTTGTGTAAACCTTATTGGATATTTTATAATCTATTCGGCTAAATTTTTTTCCTCTCTTTTTTTTCTTTCGATTTTTTTATGTGCGACCTTTTTTGGACATTATTTTTTCTTTTTTCTTTTTTTTTTTTTGGATAAAGAACATAAACACAACTCCAACAAACAACTCCACCCCTCCAATTCTTAACCCGCAACTCCATCAACGTCATCATCACGAGGTTATCAATAAAAATCAAATAAGGCTCAAAAGGGGAGACTAGGGAATAATTCGTAGAGAAAGAAAAGGATAGAATACAATAAATGCCTTAATCATATACACAGTTCACAATTCTTATCAATTTATTTCAATGCAGACTCAGGGCAAGTTCTAATCAAACAAGAGCACGACCAATGTATCTCAAGAAACAAATAAGGCTCAAACCTCACTAGGTAGATATATGAATGCCAATCAAAGTAATCGACCAAGCATTTCATCACGCTATGCCTCATATGACCAACATCACAACTCATCGAATTCATCAAACAAGTCTTAACTAATCTTGAAATTTCCAAAGTCCATACTCACAAAAACACACAAAACCTACAATAGACTGATCCACCACATAAGCAGACAAAATCCACGTAAACTCCCCCACACTTAAAATGAGACAATGTCCTCATTGCTTCAACACAAAACCAGGAAGTCAAATAATAGGACCAAGCAATTTCACATAATGAACCAACCCTAGCAGCTAACACAAGAACACAAACTTAAAAGAAAAGACAAGAGAAAGAACAACTCAAAAAGGATAAAAGAAAAAGCGTGTGCAAACCGAAGATGCCTCTAGGAGGATAAACATCCACGTGCAAGCCGCTCGCTTATACTCAGCCCAAAACCTCGATATTGCTCCTGCTCAAGCTCGTAAACTCGTACCTGCCAAGAAAAACACAGAACTCCAAAACTCCCATTATTCAAAGATAAAATAAAAGAGCATAAAGAAAAATATCTAGAAAGCATTAAATCGCTTGGGTTGCCTCCCAAGAAGCGCTTGTTTAACGTCATTAGCTTGACGAAACCTGTGTACACCTCAACCAGGGTCCAGAAAGAAGTGACGATCATTCCATGCCTTCGTGTTTTCCAGAAGTGGTAGCATGGGAAGTGTGGCATGACCGCAAACCAGGTGGGCTCGGATGGCAATATTCTTGTGGAACCGAGCATGAGCACCAAGGATGGTAACAAAACGGCCCAGAGCTCTTCTCATCAAACCACCACAGTTAACCTCTCGGAATACAAGAGTGTCTGTGGAGCATGTCGAGCTAAATGGAGCCTTCTCGACGGTGCGGAAGAATGGCTCAAGTGAGGGACTCTCGAATTTGGACCCAGGAGTTTCCTCCATCAGAATATCACCCTCAATCTCTAGGAGCGCATCTTCCTCTTCTTCAATCTCACCCACGTGAATCTGATAGACATTGATAGTGGGCTCATCGACTTGTGGCTCAACGGATTGGATGTGTTCTATTATATCGTCAAGCAAGAATCAGATCGAGTTTTTCATCAATCATCAAAACGTTCACTGGATGCTCATTATCTACGAGGGAATCGGGAGATGAATCATAAACTCGATCCTCCAAAACTCGAACACGTTCTGCTAGGTTCTCGATTCTGGCCTCAAGGTTTTTCCTTCGGGCTGATTGGGAGGTCAGAATATCGAGAATCCGATCAAGCTTAGCATCCGACTCTGAGGAGTCCACGGGGGACTAATATGATTGCTCGAACAGTAACGGATTCCACGATTGCTCGTAAGGGAAGGCATATGCCTGGCCATACTCCCACGAACCGTAGCTTAGCCCATTATTCTAGTAAAGGGTTTGTGAGGATGCGACTGGGTAGCCTGAGTTCATTGAGCTCTTCGATCAAATGCCCTGCACACAAGAAACAAAACAACCACACGAAGCCGCAAAAAGAAAGAAAAAAGAAGACAAAAACAAAAACAAAGAGAAAAGCAAAGATGCAAAGAAGGAACACAAACACGAAAAACAAAAAAAAAATAAAGAGAAACACAGAAAATAAAATCAACACCAAAACTAAATATCCTACTTTCCTTCCTCGGCAACGGCACCAATTTTGTTGTAGCAAAATATATTTTTACCGAGTACCGAATCAAAAGATTCATTTCCCGGGTCGATCTCTCGAGGAAGGCGGTTCGGAATCTAGGAATGGTGTTGATAACGCATAAAAGAAAAATGAATCCTAAACACTCTAATCAAGATAGTATTTTTTAATTATCAACTACGAAAGAGAATTCAAACAATGCAAAATCGAACTTAAAAGCAAAGATGAAGATCAAAGGATAAAAAGCTAAGGAGTCGGGGATGATGATTTTCTAACCAATGCAAATATCAAGCTAAGATCATTCGGTTAAATGATTCGAGCAACCTAACGTCTAGAGATAGTCCTCAATAACTCTTCATAACAAGAGGATAACATAGACGGTAAATCAAACAAATCACACAACACATAGACAATACGTTTCCGAACAAGTCTATTTCATACGAGCCAAGATCGATCAACTCCTCCCCTTTCAGTTCTAAGAGTTGATTAATTATCCTAGACGATTGTTAATCTACTAGTTCGTTGGATTTAAACACATCACACAAGAACGAATCATATTCAATTGGAGATCAATTGCAAATCGAAGTGTCACTCTTCGACAATAATCAACATTCAATGTACGAGAATTATAAACCCTAGTTAAGAACAACTCGCATAAATTGAGCGATCAACAAGCATGATAATCACAATTAAATTCTAAACATCATCATCATCCCCTATCCCTAGTGAAACGAATTAGCTACTCATATGGAATTCAAAATCAACAATCTCAACAATCAAAGCCATAATATTCATGGATTATATGAAAAGAGAAACTTACGATCCATAGAAATCCAATATTCGAATCCAATGACAAAGCTAAATCCGGAAAAGTAAAGAGAGAATTGAGCAAAAAGAACGATCTAAATCTGAGTTTTAGAGATGGATAAAGTGAAAAAACAATATTGGGGTTTGTTCCCACGAGTCTAAGGATCGTTTTGATATATAGTGGGCAAAAAACGGAGCTAAAATGAGTAAAAACGAGCAAAAATAAAAACAGGGTCGGCCCTGTCGCGAGTTTACTCGCGAGTCGCGAGTCGCCTGGGTCGCTGGGGCTGCGCGTCTCTGTTTTTTACGCGAGGCGCGAGATGCTGGGCGCTGGGGGCGCGTGCGCTGGGCGTGAAGCTAGTCGCAGGTCGCGGGCACGGTCGCGGCTCGCGACTTGGACTGCACTGCGCCTCTTCACGTTTTCGCCTCGTTTGAGCTCGTTCGAACTCGGAATTGAGCGCTGTTTTTTCCTACGCGTCGCCAACGAACCCCTCTATTTAACTATACTCTCGAAACCATATTTTTCCTGAAGAGAATATTCTCCCGAAGCTCTCGACCTACACACCAAAAACGACAAAACACAAAAGAAAACCGGAAAAACAAACGAAAAACACCTAAAGACTCAAAATGAAGGAAAACACATAATAAAACACGAAACAAACTAAAAACTAAAGAAACGACCTAAAACGGGAGAAAAAAGAAAGATAAAATAAACACGAAAAACGTAACAAAAATGGGACAAACAACCCACCTTAGTCCTTTTTTGTGGGATTCAAATTAATGTTTGGGTACCCAATGATCTTCCCACAGTCTAGTAGACTTCCCGATATGATTTCAACTCTAAAACTTTTTTGGTGTTTATTCCTCACTATTTACCAGTTTCTCCACATCTAGGAAGCATTATAAGAAGTATTTGCTTGAAGAAGATAGCCTTAGGAAAGTATTTATCTTTGAGAAACTTACTGACAAGGAGATTGAGATTAATGGCTACTCTTCAAAGTTGCTTCAGGATTAGAGCTTCATTGACCAAGAATAAGCCTTGGAATCCCATATCTCCATCCTCCTTTGGTATAGTCACAACATTCTAGCTTTTCAAGTGCATTCTATCGCTTTGATCAACTCACTTGGTCCACCAAAAACCTGCACTCAATTTGGAGATCACCTGGCAAGTTCCTTTGGATAAGCAGAAGCAGGACATGGTAAATATAGGCATAGCATTTATCATTTATTTTAGTAGAACCTCTGTTCCAACATTAGATAGAAGCCTATTCTTCCAGCTAACCAATCTAGACCTAACTGCGTTTACTACAAACCTAAAACCCTATTTTTTGGGTTTCTCTATACCTAGTGGGAGTCCTAGATATTTAGAAGATTTTTGAGCTGAGATACCTCCTAGAACCTGACTCACCTCCAACTGGATATCCAAGGGAGTATCTCTGCTAAACAAAACTAAAGGCTTGGCTAGGTTTACTTTCTGCCTTGTGAAAACATGGTAATTGTGCAACACTATTAAAAGCAGCTGGGATTGCATGCTCTCAGCCTTACTAAAGATTAGTGCATCATCTGCAAACAGGAGATGGGAGAACTTTGGGACTTTCTCACAAATTCTCAACCCTTCAAAATTACCTTTCATCTCTTCAGCTCTCAACAATCTTGCGAACACCTCAGACATCAAGATAAAGAGGTAGGGGGACAGTGGGTCTCCCTACCTTAATCCTCTAGTTGCTCTAAAAAAATCCTTCGTTTCTCCATTTAAATTAAAAGATTAAGTTGAAGTAGAAATACAAGCATACACCCATTTAACAAAAGTAAGGTGGAAACCTAGTTTGAGCATGATTCTCTTAATGCAATTGCACCCTATCCTGTCATATGCTTTCTCCATGTTTAGCTTAACAACCATAAACCTACTGTTACTAGACCTATGTCTATTCAGGAAGTTGATATCTTCTTGTGCTATAATTACATTGTCTAGCAACTACCTACCTTGAATGAAGGCTGACTGCTAATAACTAATGCAATAACTAACGCAGTTCTTAAGTCTGATGGAAAGGATTTTTGAGATTATCTTATAGGTGACTCCACAGAGACTTACTAGTCTATAATTGTTAAGAGACTCAGGATTTTGACACTTAGGGGGTGATTGTTTATGGATTCAACTAGTTTTTATTTGGTTTGTTTCTTAACTACAGTTAATTTTCAAAAAAAATGGTATGGTTAATTATTAGTGAATATATTAAAATAATATTTAAATAAAATAAATTAAAGTTGATTTGATATAAAGTATGAAAAATATTATTAGAAGTGATGGTTAGTTAAAATTATATGAGTGGATGAATAGTGAATTAAAGTTGATGTAATGTATAAGAATGATTGGTTGATATTATTTAATTATATTGATAATATTGGAGATAGTAGGATTGAGTTAAAGTTGAGTTAAATTTGAGTTTTGATTGTTTTTTTTACCGTAGAAACTATATCCAATCGTCCCCTCAGGCTCTAAAGTAACAAGAGTATAATTCCAACTTTTAGAAGTCGACAAGAATCAACAAAACTGAAACAACAGCACATAAATCATTTCTTATAGAAGTACAAAATTTTTTGGGACATGCCATCCTGACCAGGGGCTTTGTTTGGATCCATACTGAACATAAGAATCTCTGACTTCTTCTTCAGTGACTGGGGCTACTAGTTTCGAGTTTTTCTCCTCTGATATAGTATGAAGGAGATACTGGAGGATGTCCTTTTCTTCACTTCAACCCTCTGAGGTATAGAGATTTTCATAGAAGGAGACCAAGCATTCTTCAATATCATACTGAGATTCACACACTTTTCCCTCTGGATTCAATAATGTTTTTATACCATTGGACTTCCTCCTCTGCATAGTAACAACATGGAAAAACTTCTCCTTGGATTCCCCCTCTCGTAGCCACTTAATTCTTGCTTTCTGCCTGCAGTAGTCTTCTTTCTTCTTGTACTGTCTGTTCAGATCTTTTTTAATCTTGGCCCACTCCTCCCAGTCCCTGTCTTCTCCTTGATTCCTCATATCCTCCATCTTCCTAGTAAACTGCCTTCTGCTCTTCTCACTATTCTCCTTAAAGGAGCTACTCCACTTCAGAAGAGCTATCATTGTTTCTTTAATTCTCTTAATGACCTAGAATATAGGTGTTCCAGTCTTAGGAAGCTCCCAATATCTCTTGACTGTCTTCTGAACTCCTTCCTTCTTTAACCGTCTTCTATCAAAGGCAAACCACATCTTCTTATGATTAGACTGATCAAGAAGCACTAGGAGATGATGATCAGAAGAAATTCTGAATATGTTTACCACTGTAGGCCTTGGGTGATTTGCAAGCCAACTGAAAGACCCAAATAATCTATCAATTATCTCTTCAATGAACCCCTCATCATCTCTGTTGTTTTCCTAGGTGAATTTGTGCCCTATCATACTGATATCCTGCATACCCATTCTAGCACTGAACTCCTAAAATTCTATAAGTTCTCTCTCAGTCTTTTTCCTGTCTCCCTTTTTTTTTCATTTTGGATCAGTACCTCATTTCAATCCCATCTTAACACCCAATTGTCACCTCATTTCAACTTAGCCCTCTCTAAAAACTCCCATTGATCCTCTTTTACTCTCCTAATAGAGCTAGCATAAACAAATTTATACCAGTAGGTCCCTGACCCACCTTGCTCTTCCACTTCTACTCCAAAGCATAATTGGCTCTTTATAATCTAAGTCACCTTTACTTCCCTGGCCCAAAGTAGAAAAATACCACCAGTTAACCCCTGAGATTCCACAGCTTGCCATCTATCCTGAAAATCTATCTTATTACAGACTATCCTAAGAAAGTCTCTATTTTTTTATTTCAGCTAAAAAGACAAAACTTGGGAGGTGGAATCTGGATTATTCTTATAACTGGGCAACTGTTGAGAGTCCCCCCCAGACCTCTACAGTTGCACACCATGATCTTCATTCCACCTCTTTATCTTCTCCTTTCAGCTTTTTTCCCATGTCTTCTTCTCTCTCACAGTTCTCATCTATGCTCATAACTCTTTTCCTAGTTTGGTTTTCCTCCTGCCCCGAAGCTTGATTATTTGTTCTAGCCAATCTCCCTACTTGATTATTTTTCCTTTTCCAACCCTTTCTTCTATGAGCTTTTGATATCTCCTGACTTACTGCTCTTACCTCTAGTTGACTTTCCTCAGGTTGTTCCTACAGTACCTCCATTGGTCTCTCAACAATTTCACCCCCCCACCACTACTATAGCTTTCTTTAACCTCTCTAATTCACTGCCCCTACTTTGTCCTTAGGGATCTCAGTGGTCTCCAAACCTCCTGGTATTTCTTCTTGATCCACCAGCTCCATCAGAGCCTCCATCATTTCTTTCCCTTATATTGCCTTAATCTTTCAATCAGTTAACTGATTTAGAGAATTGCTACTACTTGATGAGAAAAGGGTAATCTTTCTGTTAGATGGCTCATGAGGTGGGTTACTTGATATATGTGGTGACTATGTGGACTGCGTTGTAGGCATGCTCGCTGAAGGATCTCTAAATCCATATCTACCCTCTACAACTTTCATTCATTCCTCATACTGTCCTTATTTATCTTTCCCCTTTCACTATCTTCAATCCTTTTCTCATAGTGTCTATCCAAGTGTCCAATAAACCTTTAGTAGAAACACAGGTTTTACCAATTTCTCATACTAAAAACTTACAACAACATGTTGATTATTTAACTTCACATGCACACATCTAAACAAGGCTTTTGTTACATCTATTGTCACAAACAATCTGAGGAAACTACACCTTGATCCCTTTGCTTTTATCACAGCCACATTTTTTTTTTTTTTTTTTTTTTTTTTTTTTTTTTTGTATTTTCCCTATTTTGTCTCCTTACCTCAAGACTGAACCAATTCAGAGGTAGGTCGTTAATCTGCACTCATAGATTTAAGTTCAGAGAATCCACTGTGATGCACAGAAAGACCCTCCTCCTATTCCAGCAGTATTAGATACTAATTCTCAAAAATCCAATTAACAATATTAACAACTTTCTTCTTGTCCTCATTACTACGTAATATGAAGTGAAAGAAATGAGCTCTCTTACCTCCAATTGGTTCTGAATTTGCCATATTGTCGACATAGCCTTTCGGATTACAATTAAGCTGGCTTTCCTTTCTCCTAATATTTTACCAAACAGCTTCTCAGGCATTCCCCTTCGTTGGCCTTGATATCTTCCTCCCCCAGTTCAGTTATCTTATTCTCCAATTATGAGAGGTATATCTTCTTCAACATGTCCCCAAGCTCTTCCGCCCCTCCCATTTAACTAGTATCCCATGTCACTTCAGAAGCCATCAAAGCACCTGCACAATACGAAACCATATAGAAACCCTAATCAAGAACCAAGAGCATAAGAAAAATGGCTAATCGGAAACTAAATGAGCCCTAGACCAACTCAAAAACCCAACCCTCAACTAGAACCCTATTTTAGAAGGAAAAACCCCATCCACAACTGAAAAAAAACCCTAGATCGAAGAATAGGACAAAGGAAAAAGCTCTCAAGGGAGAGAATGAGAGAACCAAGCAAAACCCGACTACGAATGAATCCTCTCGCAAAGAGAATAAAGATCTGAAGAGAGAGAATTAGATCAGTCCGGATATGAAATGGTCAGTTTAAATGCACAACTATTTTCTTCTTTTTTTTTTTTGTATTATGAGAGTAAACCCATTCATAAAAAAGCTTGTGTTCATTCATGACCATTCATAAAAAATCTTGTGAGAGTAATATATATATATATATATATATATATAGAGAGAGAGAGAGAGAGAGAGAAAGAGAGAGAGAGGTGGGATCATATGAGAAAGGGTAACAGTGAAAGAAATCAGAATGAATTATAGTTGTCAGATGTGATATATCAATGCTCCAGGCGCGATCAAAGGGTCTGACTTTAGTCAAAAACGCGGTAGCATTTCTATAAATAAGAGGACTTTTGATTTTTCACGTAGGGGTATTTTAGTCATTGCGCAAAATGTAGTGTTACGATAAAGTGCAATATCATATGCACTAATATGCAGTTTGTCTGACAATAGAGTGCAGTCTGTATAGCGATATTTATAATGTGCAATTTCAAACGAGATATGGTGCAATGCACTGTACATTAATGTACAATTATTAAAGTTCGATTAAAATATATATTTGACCCATGAACTAAATTGTAATATAAATTTATAAAATTACAATTAGGTCCCTCAAACCTATCTAATTTTCAAAAAAAAAAAACTTAACCCCCAAATTGAATTTCTGTCCACGTTCTCATGTCCATCATCTCCAATTTGTTTTAATCTCTGTTGGTCGATTTCGAGGTCGTCAGAGGACGGTGATTCTGGTGAGCGGCGCCGCGGCTCTCCTCTGGACAGGAACTTCGGTGATGGCTCGAGCTCGACTGAGATGGCTCGACAATTTTGGGCGGCGGAGGTCGTTCTGGTGGTCTACTCTTGCGGAGGCGGCATTCTCTAAGATGACAGCAGTGAAGGCGGTATTGGCAGGCAGCAGGGCGAATTCCAGCATCGTTGCCTTGTGTGTCTGTGTCTCTTCTTTGTGTGACAAGTATTGTGCGACGGGGGCAGCGTATGTGACCGGATGTGCAGCAGCGGCTGAAGGAGATGGCAGCGGCAGTCTGCCGGTGGCGAGCAACAGGCGGCGACAGAGCTGTGCCGGCAGTGTGGGTGAATCGTGTGTGCACAGTGTGTGAGTAGTGTGTGCTTGAGAGAGAGTACAGTGTATGTGTTAGTAGTGTTAGTATGTGTGTGTGTGTGTGTGTGTGTACAGACCATGTGTAAAGTGTGTGTGCATGAGAGACATAATGTGTGAATGAAGTAAGGCCACATGATATATGTGAAGATAAAATGTCTATTATACCCTTAATGAGTACGTGTAAATAATTGACTTATTTTTTAACGTTGAATGATCATATTTTATGGCTAAGGTTCATTTTTATTTCTTTCATTAAACGTCATTCTCACTTGAACAGTTGAACCCAACCACACACACATATATATTATTGTTTCTCGTGTTACTAGTACGTAGCCCGTGCGATGCACGAGTAAACAACATTAAATAATAATTATAATTTTTTTTCCAAAATGATAGACTTTCATAAATATATTCATATTTACAAACTAGAAACCAGCTAAATAGCCGAAAAACCAACTGCCAGCTGACTCTAGTTTGGAGGACTATACCAAAGGCAGCCTATAACCAACTGAAAATGCTCCCAACGGGAGAAAAAGCAAAGCTCCCACTAGTGATGAATACAAGAAACATACACCCCAATCTTTTTGCTTTTACTGTGGTCGCATTGGGCATATTGATAAACATTGTTCAACTAAAAAAGAGGATCTATCTAGAAATGTGATTAACATAGGACAATTTGGTGATTGGTTGAGGACCAGCTCTTATTTTGTTAGTGAGGCTAGATTTTATAAGAAATCTGAGTCTGGGGGTAATAGTGCTGGATCTCCTAAGCCAGACTCGGGTAAGGGTGTTGAGTTGAATTGTCAAGGTGAGGATAATGGATACACCCCTAGTAAAGGAGTCACCTCACCTATAGATCAGAATAGTGGTATGAAGTTGGTTGTTGATAGTGGAAGTTCTGAGGATGGAAAGGAGGCTGCAATAAATGCAGATACTTTACCTATAGAGCCCACTTATCATTCTGCTCTTTTAAGTGATCCAGAAGATCAATTCATTAAGGTAGCTATACAACCTGATAATAATGAGGTTAAGGGAGTGGCTAAGAGAAGGATAATAGTTCCTAGAAAGAATAAACATGCTTTTCAAACTATCCCTGTGGATATGGTTGTTTCAGCATCCAAAAAGGTTTCCTCTAAAAGGAACTTGACTGAATGCAGCTTTTCTAATTCTGAGCCCCATTTTAGTGAAGGAACTAAGAAAAAAATGAAGTCAGACAATAGTACTATTTTCTGTGAGGTAGAGGGGACCAGCCCTAAATGGTCCCAAGGGTCAAAATGAAAGTATGTGTGTGGAATTGTAGAGGTTTGGGAGGACCCTCTACAGTTTCCCAATTGCGAGAAGCTATTAAAGCTCATCTCCCAGATTTACTTTTTCTTTCTAAAGTTAAAAAAAAAAGAAAAATTTGTTTCCACTGTTTGTATAAAGCTTAAGCTAGACAACAGATGGATGTATGTTAAACCTAATGGCACTAGGGGTGGTCTGTTGTTGTGCTGGTCTAGTAAAATTAATATTATTGATTCCTTTTGTTTTGATTTTGGTGTTGGTGTCAAATTTTCTTGTTCTGGTAGTTTCCTCACTCAGTGGGGTATTTTTATTTATTCCAGTACTGATTCTGAGATTAGGAAAATTCAATGGAACTTGTTGACTAATCTCAAGGACCAGTGGGGTGATGTTTGGTTTTTAAGTGGTGATTTTAATGATATTTTGTCTTCTCAAGATAAATCTGGGGGTAGAATTCGAGATGAGGCTAGTTTTCATCCTTTTAGGGAGTTTGTTTCTGCTATGGGGATGAGTGAGACCAAAACTGTTGGTCATCACTTTACTTGGTCTAATCTAAGACAAGGGATTGAGTTTATTGAGGCCAAACTTGACAGATTTTTCTTTTCTCAGAGCTGGCTTAATCTTTTTCCTAATGCTATTGTTAATCACATTTCTCTTATATCCTCTGACCACAGTATGCTAATATTGGAGAGCGATAGTGCTTTAAATTTTAAACCTAAAAGGTTTGTGTTTGATGCTAGATGGGTTAAGATGGAGGGATTTAAGAACATTGTTGAGACTGCTTGGAATTTAAATGTGAATGGGCCATTACTGTTTAGCATTCAAAGCAGAATTAGACATGTTAGGATGGCTATTCTCAATTGGAATAAGAATTTGAATAATAATTCTGCTGATCAAATTGATAGTTGTAAATTGGCTCTCAAGAATCTGGAATTGTTAGGAGGGAACAGAGATTGGGGAGAATGGACTCATTGGAAAAACCAGTTACATCAGGCTTATTTAGATGAGAAAAGGTATTGGCATCAGAAATCTAGAATTCAATGGTTAAAAGATGGGGACAAGAATACTAAATTTTTCCATGCTTCAGTCCAACATAGAAGGAAAGTGAGTAGCTTTGATAATCTGATCAACTCTAGTGGTAGAAGGTGCTCTAATGATCAGGAGATTGTAGCTGAAATGGAAGAGTATTTTCAACACCTATTTTGTTCATCTCAACCTAACTTGGATTCCTGTGATTTGGATGGCATTCCTGCTTCTATTAATGATGATATGAACTCTAATCTGACTTGTGATGTGACAGAAGAAGAAATTTATGAGGCTATTCAGGAAATGGAACCTTCCAAAGCTCCGGGTATTGATGGCATGACAGTTTTATTTTTTCAGTCTTGTTGGTCCATTATCAAAAATCATCTCTGTGCAGCTAGCTATTGCTAATTTTTTTGAAGCTGGTCAAATGCCTAAATGGATAAACCATACTGTCATCACCCTCATTCCCAAAAAAGCCAATCCTATTTTAGTTTCTGATTTTAGGCCTATTGCTCTTTGCAATGTCATGTACAAAATCATTTCTAAAGTTATTGCTAATAGGCTGAAAACAGTTTTGAGTCCTTGCATTCATGAATCTCAGGCAGCATTTGTGCCTGGGAGACAAATTCTTGACAATGTAGTTTTGGCCAATGAATGTCTTCACTATATCAACAGTAAAAGAAAAGGATTAAAATGTCTAATGGCTGTTAAGTTGGACATGGCCAAAGCTTATGATAGAGTTGAGTGGTCATTTTTAATTAGAGTCTGTAGAAAGATGGGATTTTTCGATATTTTTGTGTCTTGGGTGTTGGCCTGTCTCAATACTGTCTCTTATTCTTTCAATATCAATGGGCAACCTCTTGGTTTTGTCAAACCAAGTAGGGGTATTAGACAGGGTGATCCCATATCCCCTTATCTGTTCATTATTTTGTCTGAGGCTCTTTCCAATCTGATTCACAAAGCTTCTTCTCTTTCTCTATATGCTGGTATTAAAATCAGTAGATTCTCTCCCCCTGTTTCTCATCTTCTATTTGCAGATGACACCATTTTGTTCTGTCAAGCTGATGATTATCATGCTCACCTTATTTTGCAAATTCTGAATTGCTATGGATCTGCTTCTGGTCAAAGTATTAACATGCATAAATCCTCTGTTCTGTTTTCTATGAATACCCCTGATAGTGCCAAAACTAGAATCTGCAATTTACTGAATGGGATCCTTTGTGTTAGGTCTGCCAAATACCTAGGGCTTCCTCTAGGTATTGGCAGATCTAAGAGAGAAACTTTTAAATATGTTTATGATTGTGTTCTTAACAGACTTTCATGTTGGACTAATAATTTTCTCAGTTCAGCCGGGAAGGAGACTCTTATCAAATCTGTGGTTGAAGCCCTCCCCACATATGTGATGTCATGTTTCCAACTTCCTGTGAGTATTTGTACAGATATTAGCAGGGATGTGGCTAAATTATGGTGGGGTACTAATGAGCAGGGGAATAATAAAACTCACTGGGCTTGCTGGGATTCTTTGGTTAAACCAAAAAAATGGGGTGGGTTGGGATTTAGGAACTTGAAGATTTTTAATACAGCCTTGCTGGTTAAACAACTTTGGAGACTCATTTCATTTCCTAATTTGTTAATCAGTAAGGTGCTTAGAGGGAGGTATTTTCATAGTGATAGTTTGCTCAATGTGAAACCTAAAAATGGTGACTCTTGGTTATGGAAGAGCTGGGTGGGGGTCCTTAATTTTCTGAGAATGGGTATTAGATTTCAGGTGGGAAATGGGCAAAATATCCTAGTTTGGGAGCATCCTTGGCTGCCCAGAAATGAAAACCCCATACCCAATTGTAATTTTGCTAATCACAGTAACAACATTAAGAGGGTGAGTGATCTTATGAGTCAGGAGAGAGGGGAATGGGATAGAGAGTTAGTGAAGCGTAATTTTAGTCCTGAGGAAGCTGAGTGTAATCTTAAAATTCCTATCTCTCGGCTAGGGAAGAATGACAGGTTCATTTGGTTATTTGGGAAATATGGGAAATTTAGTGTTAAATCAGCTTATGAGGCATTTGTATCTCACTTCTGGCAGAACAAGGGGGTTGTCAATGCTTCATCTAGCAGGGGCTCTAATGAGGAGCATCAAGTGTGGAAAGTGTCTTGGAATCTTCCTGTTAAACCAAAAATCAAACATTTCCTGTGGAAGTGTTGGTTTGGGTTCATGCATACAAATGACCAATTGTTGAAGAGAAATCTAACTGAGGATATTACTTGTTATGTATGTGGAATGGCAGCTGAGAATATGGATCATATATTCTTTAACTGTCACAGAGCAAGAGTTGTCTGGAAACTGAGTGGAGTGGAATGGGATAGGCTGAAACTGCACAACACATCTTTCAGAGACTGGTGGGGTCAAATCTGTAGTGCTCCTCAAGTTAGAAGTTTGAGAGACAGAGCCAGCCTTTCATCTTATATCCTATGGTGGCTCTGGAAAACAAGGAACACCTGGATTTTTCAAAAAGATAAAGTCAGTGAAAAGCACATTGCTGAAGGAGCAAGAGAAGAATGGCTTGAATTTCTGGCAGCTCAATGCAAGAGTTCTGGAAATCATGTTCACAATTCTTTGAATTCAGTTGATCAAGATGAGGAATTTTCCCAGAAGGTAGGTCATTGGTTGCTCAATGTCAGTGCCTTAACCTCTTCTGATAATCAATTGAAGATGATTTGTGTGGCTGAAATGGAGGGAGAGGAGAAACAGCAATGGACAGATAATACCTGGTATAATGGCTGCAAGGAAGGTAAAGAGCTGGTAGCTGCAAGATGGGCAGTTATGAAAGCTATTCAGAATGGGTGGCAACAGTGCAGGTGTAAACTTCTCAATAAAGTTGTGGTTAAAAAACTTAATAATCAAAAGCTGGAGTTTAATTTTTGTCGTAGGACCATTGCAGCTGATTTACTTGAAATGAGTGCTTCTTTCTCTTCTTTTGGTTTTCTGTAAGCTAGTATAAGTTTTAGAATAGTTATTTGGTTGTTGTATTGAAGANTAATTACTAGTGCGTAGCCCGTGTGATGCAATAGTACACAATATTAATAATAGTTGTAAATTAAAGATGAGGGTAAACAATATTAACCAATAATTATAAATTAAAGATGAGGGAAAACAATAATGACTGATAATTATAAAATAAAGACATTGAGTTAATATGTGATATAATTTATTGTATATTAGTTGTAAACAATATAAATTTATCTTTTATAAAAAAAACATACAAAAATGCATGTTTAAAATATTAAAAACACCTACATATTATATAATATATATAGAAGTATCTAAAATTTTGTGTATCATTATTGAAAGATATGAAGTCACCTAAAATTTTTCTAAACAATTTTGCAAAGAAGACATGTGTAAAACTATTTAAAAAGATGTGGAGTCACCTACAATTTTCTAAATTATTTCTTAAAGAAAACATATCTAAAAAGATTTAAATTTGACATATGTATTTGTATATGTGTACATGTGAATGTATATAAAGTTAGAATATGTATAAAAAAAAATATTTAAACAATATGTTTATAACTATTAAATATTCGCCTAACATATGACGCTAAATTTGAGAGAAGGTGAGAAAACTTACATAGAATATAAAACAAATATTGAGATGATATTAGATAAAATAAATATTGAGATGATATCATATGAGAAGATTTATCTATAATATATAAAATAAATATTGAGATGATATCAAGAATTATGACGAATTATGGCATAACTTCTGCAAAAGTTGAGTAAAAAAAAATTCAAAAATTAATCTTCTATTTTTTTATGTCCTAGAACGCTCTTATCCATAC